TCTCTCTCTCTCTCTCTCTCTCTCTCTCTCTCTCTCTCTCTCTCTCTCTCTCTCTCTCTCTTCTTCGTCGTGGTCTTCTCTGCAGGTGCGCGCGGCGGCTTCTTCAACCTCGGTGTCCTCTATGGCGGACTCCTTCTTCGTCAACCACTTCAGCTATGGCGCATCACCCTCCCTGCGACACACAACGCTGCGCGTGGAATAGCGGGTACCGGCTCCAATGCCAATGCAATCAGACTCGCTCTCATTCACACTTCTCATGCATGCGAACAGGTGCACAGCAAACTGGCGACAAGCGCCCACTCAGAACTCAGAGATATGGTAACCGAGAACAGAGATCAGATACAGGTTCACTTCAATGGCTATGGCGACTTTGCGCCCACTCAACTCTCAGTTCGCATACACAAGATCACCCTTGATATCCCACAAGCAATACTCTGAACTCACACACACACATACACTGAACTCTACCTACAGCTATGGCGGCTATGGCCGCTACCACCCTATCGCTATGGCTACACTCCTTCTCTCTCGCCCACTTCGTCCTCGGGCTCACTGCAGACCTTGCACAAGTCGTTTATGGCAGCGCTTCCGCATGGCTCACGCAGGAATGAATGAATGACTAGGCGCTGCCTCCTGATTTATACTTCTGCAGCTCGTTGGTCTGGCCCTTTCCCATGCCCGAAGTGCACACAGTCCCATGCGGTACTTGCTTGACTGGACCAGGACTGCCTAGGACTGGGACTGCTGACTCAGCACGGGTAGACTCCACCACTTGCCTCACCACTTGACCACTTGCCTCAGCCTAACAGTGGGAAACTCCGAAAGGCCACTACTCGGACCTTCCGGAAGGCCGTAGACTTGGCCTTTCGGTACTGTAGCAGCTACGACCTTGACCTTTCTGGACTGTGGCAGCTACGACCTTGACCTTTCTGGACTGTAGCAGCTACGACCTTGACTCTTCGAGATGGCTACAGCTACGACTTCTAGACCTGACTAGGACTCCTACTCGGCAGGTCTACAGATTGAACCCCTGCTACCTATGGACCCTACGACAACCTACCAACTTTTACAGAAACACAGGTCGCAGGTTCAACTCTAGGGGTCGACACAGATACTGCACACAGGTAAGTTGGGGGCTAGGGATCGAGCCCTGGGATCTGCATCAGCTACTGCGAACTGGTGAATACCGTTTCAGGTGACCCTCTTCTATCGGGAAACGGATAATCGACTTACAAGGTATCCACAAAACGAGAGGAGACGGTGGCAGAAGGTGGACACATACAGAATCAGGGTAGTCGGAGAAAGAGAAGAATGGGTAGCATCCCTCCCTGAAACTCCATTCGCCAAGCTCCCCTTTGACCCGACAGAATGGCAATGGCACCCATCATGTAGGATGAGGCTGGGAGCAAGTAAGAAATTATTTGCCCTGTCTGTGAAAGCCGCATACCAGCTTCTCAGGCCCCGAGTTGATCTTCAGAGTGTTGTGAGGGAGAGATGGATGTCCTACCTGAATGTAGGAAGGGACAGTGTTCGCCCCATCCGATGGTTCACCGCCACGAGAGCCAGACCAGCGAAGATGGCCTCAGATAGAGCACCGTTGCCCCCCTACGAACGACTAGTTGATCGATCGAACATACTTGGAACAAAAGGGATTGGCAACGTCGTGGTCCACGTCATGTCTGACTGTCTTCCCTGCCCACAAGATCACTGAGACTATAGAGCATATTTTCTTACAATGCGCGGGGGCGATTCTTACTTGGCGTTGGTGGGATAGAATCTGGGGGTTGCTTGGCACGGAGTATGTGTTACATACTCCAATGAGTATGGGCAGAACCAAGGATCAACCAATGTAGGATGAGCATATATGCAACGGAAGTCTGATGAACGGACTGACTCACATAGACTGACTCCCATAGACTGACTCACATAGCATCACTCCACACACATGCAATCGTGAGGTGGTGGGGTCTGAGCCATACATAGAAGATGCTCA